ATATATATATATATATATATATATCCTCACCAACAAACACACACTTATAAAAACCAAAGGGTTATAAACAGGCAATTTAAATTCATTGATTTTTCGCCGTTGTTTTTGCATGCCAACTATTTACCGGAGCCTTCTCCAGGCAGGAAGTGCGTTTAGGTGGGATTTATTCTCACTGCAAAGCATTCTGTAATTTGTTTTTTTTTTGTTTTTTTCCCCAATCACTGTAAATTGCAGAAATTATTGCCAAAATGACAGCACAGACATCTCTCATATTATAATGTGAAGAAAATGTTCAACTGAGGAAAAACCAACCTGATGGAGCTTAAAAAAAAAATAATAATAATTCACTTATTTAGCTTTTACCACTCAGGGACTCAACTGAAGAAGCTTTATTGAGGATTGGTCAATATTTATTTCAAAAACATTGTATGCAATTAGAGGGAACAGAACAATTTTAAAAAGCTGGCACAGGTCAAATGATACACCTTGATGTTTGGCTGAAACGAGATATGTACATAAGCTGCATAAAAAGACATGACATTGTTTATAAGATGTAAAATGTAAACCTTTTGAGAAAGGCCAATTAATCATATGTGAACTTCGAATAGCTAAATTTATCTCATTAGAGTTAAATGGCGGCACCTGTGTGAAGCTAATTTAAAGACACTTCAATCTACCTCCTTCTGGAAAAAAATAGTAGAAAATAAAAAATATTTAAATCTGATATTAAAGAGAGAATTGCAGAACTCCACAGGTCAGGTTTATCCTTTGGAACAATTTGTGCAGATGTTTCCTTAAATAATCTATTCTAACCACTGCATGCCCTCACACCTTTCAGGGAGGAAATGGGTTCTGTTTCCCATAGATATGAAAGTATCCCCAAAACAAAAGCTAAAAACCATGTGAAGAAGCTGCAGATGGTAAACCAGTTCAAACCAATGTTCCAATACTGGATTAAATGCTGTTCATAGAGGAAGGAGGCCATTCTGCAAAGAGCAATGAAAATAAACTTTAATTAAAAATCTTAAATTTTGGAATCATTCCCGTGACCTTAAAACCAAGATTTAAGCATTTGGCCATAAAAAAATTTAGATATTTGAAAGAAGAAAGTTAAGCCTGAGAACGTGGTCCCAACTCTAAAGTGAGGCAGCAGCAATAGCCTCATTAAGAAAATGGAAACACTGAAGAAAAACCTATAATGGAACCCAGGAAGTCATAGTTTGGGAATGAATAGGTCATCCAAAAGGAAAATTAACCCGAATAATAGAGCCACAGACACCAAAGGCAAAGTTCTTGACTGCCCATCACAAAACCAAGAACTCAGCCTTATTGAAAATACGTGACAGTGCTGAAATGGTGTGTTTGGGCAACAAGACCTACAACGAGAGTAACAACAATTCCACCTGTCAGGACTAATGGCTCAAAACACCAGCAAACTCTAGCAGGTGTTTGTGGAAAAACAGCCACAATGTTTGGCCCCAGTCATACAGTTTTAAAGGGAAATTTACCAAAAACTGAGGAAATGTAGATAACCTTCTGAATTTAAGCAAAGAAAGATAAGCTTAACCTCCAAATTTACTCTGCAAGAAACAGAAATGTTGTAGTCTTATCTGACCTAAAAAAGGAATCAATCTGATTTGATGCTGACAGAAAACAAAGTGTCATGTGTCTTTTTATAGAGCTCATGTAAACGGAACGAGGAACTGCATATCGTCGTGTATCATTTGAAACGGAACCGTTAGATGCTGTGATCTTGAATAAGTTTACAATGTTTAATAAGACGAGAACTATGGCCGTGATTTAACTAAGTTAACTGTCATAAACTAGTCTTAGAACTAGGTGCTGTTAAGGGTGAAGTTGAAATATAGTTCATATAACCAAATATAGGTGATTGGAAAAACTTTAATCATTGAGAGATGCAGGGAAATATATATTTCAATTAGAAATCCTGAGGCAACAGAAACATCAAAAGATTCATGAATTCAAAATTAAATCACACTGGAACGTAAAAATGATATTTAACCAGTCTGTTGACGACATCTATACATCGAATCAAGTCAAACATCTGATGCTTTTTAACATTTTATTATTCAAACACAGTCTTAGGATCACTTTACGTACTTTTCCAGTCGTGTTCATCATTCCACCTCGCATAAGATGGAAATTTTGGTAACAAAGAAGCACACCTTTGATTTAACGGTTGATATCTCCGCATTAGGTGGTGGGAGAGAATTGGAAAAAGTTAAACACTTTGTTACAGATTTGAGCTAATTAAACAGAATAAGTTACTGTGAGCTGGCTCACTGCGACACACAGACGCAGTGGTTTTGAACAAGCACCCATGCTGAGCAGACTGAATAAATAAAAACACAAAAAGACTCTCCCCCATTGCACTAATTCAAACTGCAGTGAAAGAATCTGGTTGTTGCATAAGATTAAAAAATAGACGTTCTGTTCCAGTGCAAATGTCACCATCTTCCAAGGAGTTCATTCTTGCCTCTCCAGAGACAGAAATATCGCCCCCATCTGGGAGGAGAGGTTAGTGCAATCTGAACCACCAGGCTGGACGGATAAAAGGATCACACCTCGGACTTTAAAAAGGAACCGAGAAGAAGGTGGGAATCCCACCTTCTTCGAGGCTTGTGCATGGATGCGACCTATGAAGTATCCAGGGCAGAAAAGTCACAGAAAAAGACATTTTAAGGAGAAGGAAAAAAATTAAAACAAAAAAAAACAGAAGCTCATCTTCAAGAGTCGACACAATCCACAACAGAAAACTGGTCATCTTCAAACGGCGAACAGGAGAGCTATGGGTGGCAATCATCTAGCAGGCCAAGCAGCGATGGGGTCCAGACTCCTGAGGTGCACTGAAATCTTCGCTGGAGTGTGTGTGTGCTACCTGCGGAAAGGCTGCGCTTGCTTGCTGGCATCCTTATGTGTGGATGAGCTACAGGTTGAATCTTTGCAGGTTGGAGCTGTGTTCAGAAGAGTATTACTTGCAGATCGCTTCTAGGGTATCCAGGGTGCGTTTGATGTCACGGATCTGAGCCGCCAGTGTGTGTATGGGCTGCATGGAGCGATCCAGCTCCTCACAACGGGCCATCAGTGTGTACATACCCTGTACAAACACACATATCAATAAAAAACACTACTCCTAAAATGACAGATTCTGGTCGACTTGAACGCTATTAATTTTATCAACTGATTTATTATCATAAATCAAAAGAAGCATATTTCCTCTTCATTAATAAAGGAGAATGAAAATTATCCTTGATGTTTTTTAATAAAATAGCCAAATTTAAACACAGCCGTAGCTCTGTTGAACCCTCCATTCCCCCTGCTTCTTTATAAATAAGTTTGAATCTAAATATGATTGGTTCTACAGAAGGTGAGGAAGCATCTGAGGTAACTTTGGAACCTGAACAGCAAAATTATCTTCATCTCAGCTTTTTCCAGAGCCAATCAAGCTACTTCAGGAAGTATTCCTTCTGATTTCCTTCTCCATTTCCGATGTTATTAATCTATCCCTGTTACAGGGATAAGTACATCAGGCTTCTAAGGTAGCTGCAGTTTTATTTGGGCAAGTTGGCATTTCTTGTTAATACATTGACATTAATGTTTGCCATCAAAATATCCATATAAAAAGGGTGCCCTATAAAGGGATAAGACATCTATACATTTGAGTAACACATTAAACTTCACCTTTATGCTCATGTCTACCGATTCTCCCAGGCTGTCAACAGAGTCTCTGTAGGTCTGGATGTAGCCGACGCTCAGAGCCGTCATCTAAAGAAACAGAAAGTCAGAGACAGACACGTCGGTTTTGTGGACGAGCAAAAGTGAGAAACAAACAAGAGAAAATAATAAGGCACTAGGAGATTTTATGTAGGACTAGAGGCCAGCTGAGAAGAAATGAGCAATGTGTGGTGATCCAGAGAGATTCACTGCGATACACCAACTAAAACAGCAACAAGGACTCAAAATAACCCCGGCCGTTCAAGCATGAAACCAACTCACATTCTGAATGGTTCCATTGAGGCTCTTCATCATCATCTCTACACTGTGCGCCACCTCCTGGGTGTGCCTCTGCAGGTCCACCAGGACTGTAGGATCAATAGGGGGGATGTCTGCTGGTCTCCGTGTCAACCCTCTGCTTCGGTAGATTGGACCTGAACAGTCAGCTGCAGGCATAACATAAAAAAATGAAACATGCATATCCAAAATCACTAAAATAAAATCCATTAAGGAAGCCCTGCCGCATAAGATTAATGTAAGAATCTTATTTTTAAAGAGACTTTTTCTTCCCATCAAAACATGTCAAAATACAGAAGCTATCAGCAGTCAGCGGACGTAAAAAAAAAAATAAAAAGAGACAGCTTTTTTTTCATCCTGGCAACAGCAGGACCTTAATAGTAAATCCTCCTAGTCTAAACAAAGTGAGTCATCCATCTTAATTGAATCAGCAGGTAGAGGGAATGAGCTGCCACACGAGGCATATTGACTGTGTCGCTGTGCCTAAATTAAATGGCTGGTTTAGCCGTCACTCTCATCCAGACGAGTTTGTGAGGGAAGGGCAGCGTTTCAGCGCGTTTCTCCGTGAAATCTAAACATGACAGATTGCTGCTAATAGACCGTCTGCATTAGGTCGCGCTGCAAGACTACAAGGGATTGATTTATATCTGAGCTAGATTTAACCATATCACCTAAATAATTGCTATGTTCAACAGCAGGCCAAAGGAAGAAAAAGATCCAAACCAAGAACTCAGACAATCGTCTGAGGGTTTAATCTTAAAGGTTTTTGCCTCTCTGGTATTGACTGACACAATTCTATGCAAAACTATTAACATCCCTTGATGTTTGAAAGAAACCATCATTTTAGATGTGTTATATTTGGGTTTGAAGCTACAGTCAGAGCTGGATAGTAGAAGATAGATATTTTACATACTTATCGTATCTGTTCTCGAACTAAAAAAAAAAAAAAAAAGAAGTAATCCCCACAGCATGATGCTGCCACCACCATGTCTCGTTATTTGGATGGAGTATTCAGGCTTAATGAGTAGAATTGATTTTTTACCTCACAGTGTTGCATGTAAACCATAAAATTTGCTTTAGGTCCCTTTTCTTGAAACTTCTTTCCTCATCTTTTCTGAGGCCTCTGGATGATTCTGCTTTCCTCTAGATATGCCTCCATAAAGAGCGATCACCTAATTGTTCTCCTATCAGCACAAACGTTAAAAAAGCAATAAGAAGCAACTCATTAATTTAAATAAAAAGAACTAGAAAACAAGTGAAGTAAAAAAGCAAAGGAATTTTTTTAGATGGAATATAGTATGACTTCACACACCATCTCTCTGCATTCTCCATTGTTTAGTTTACTATCCAACCAGCTGGGGTGCATATAACACCAAGTGATAACCGCTACTCAGGGCTTAGCCCCTCCCTGCCCAAAGGATGCCTTCGCCAGCGTAGCATAACAAAGGAGCTACTAACTTAGTTCACCTTACCAGGAGAGCGAATCATACCGCCGTTGTAATGTAATTACATTACTAACAACACAGTCTGCACCATAAAACACCATAAGCCGCAAACACACACAATTTAAAACTAATGCTGAGACACTTTGTTACTGTCATAATTACTTAGTTATTGACAAACAGTATGGGCACTTTACAAAAATGAAGTTCTCTTGCTAAGAGCATTATGAAATTATTAGAAGGGTTTGGAATCTAGAGTTGATCAGACCCAGTTTAAACCTTTCAGTTCTATCGGAATCGTTCAAATTTTTCATTTTGGTTTCCTGGTTTTGATGCCCTATACGCCGACATGAAATAGAAGCTGCATGATGTCAGCGAAGAAAAAATCCACACCAATGCACAGTCAATCTTCTGCTTGTGCTGTGGCAATCGAAAGCAAGGCTTAAGTTAAACAAAGAACATTACTTCTATGTCTAGTTGAGTGAAACTGAGGTAGAACAAACAGAAACCTTCCTGCTTTGCCGCTTTTTCGTCCAGCTCAGCCTAACACTCCACTACAGCCACTATCAGGTAAATAAAATAATAACGTTGTCCTGTCCGACATAAGAACCTGCAGCGTCTGAAACTGGATTTATGTAAATGTGTTTTAAAGGGAGTTCACAACAATTAACAATTAAGCTCCAAGTAGAAGCGTAACTCTGTGAAAAAGATTTATACTAGAGATCATAGCCTTGTATTCATATACTGGTTGAAAATAGCTATGTGATCATTTATAGCAACGTTTACACAAAGTAAGATGCTCAAGGAAATACATTTTGTTGGGAAGTTCAGACTTTTTAATCCACATAGAACTCCTGTTAGCCAGCTCAATTATAACATTTTATGATGATTCTTCTCTAAAGAATCAGAATCGAGAATAAGAATTAAAAAAACTGGAATCGAAATAAGGAATCATTCAAATTAAAACAATGTCCAACTGTAATTATGAGTTAGTTACTGCTTTATTAAAACTATGCAAGGCAATGCTGGTTTGCTGTATTTTCATGCTTTGCAAATATACATGTGAGGCATATTAGTCTTAAAAAGAACTGGTGTTCTTTTAATGAATTAGGGCAATTATTTGCATTTGCAATATAATCACAGTTTTACAAAATGCTATTTTTTAATCGCAGAAGCACTCATTTTATTACCAGTAACACAAGTTAGACACTGACATTCTTGCTCCAGCGCTTCGGGTGGAATACAGATCCACACCTATATTTAGAAGTAAATACTCTTCAAAGTCCTGCTAAAATGGACGCGGAACAAGCTTTCAAGCTCATGAAAACAATGAAACCCTGGATTGAAACGTCTGTATGCTTGTTGTTAATGCAAAGGGAAAATCAATGTAAAACTGAAATTGTAATTTCAGCTAAAAGAAAAAAAAAAAATCCTTTAGACCTATAATAGATACAGTTTCTTACAAATGTATTTATAGAGACTGGGATTTAAAGCAAAACAAAATGGTTATGAGGGAAAGTTTGACTCGGATTCCCTTTACATGCACTGTGGCCAGCTGTACTGTAATGAACAGCTGTGTGACAATGAATCCCAGGATACATGGGGCCGTTTGTGAGGCCCCAGATGTTTGTTAGAATGCCAACATCACATAAAGTTTAAAGATGTACATGACAAAAATGTGGGATGTTACCTTCTCTTTTTTTTACCTTTCTTTTTAGTGAAAGTCTATTACTTTCCACCTTACAAATGACAGCAGTGAAACAGGTCAGAAGTTTTCTTTAGGATCTAACTCACAATCACTGCAGTCCAGGCTGGGTTTGGAGCTCATTTTGATCTTCTGCTCGAGGTTCTTTGTGATGAAGTTGGTGAGGTCTCCTTCATGGCTGACCGTCCCCTCCAGTTCCAGGGCTGAAGAGATTGTGGCCCTTCGGCCCTCGGACTGCCCACTTCTGCCTCCACCTCTGGCACCTTGACTACCTGGGAACAAAAAATAAGTAAAAATAAATAAACAGATTGCTGGAAAGGTGTGATCCAAACTGCAACAGAAACATACCTCCACAGGCTTGGCTGATTTCATCCAGGCTCTTGCTGTCTTGCATCCCACGGTTGTTGCGAACCCAGACTTGAGCCATGACGTGAGGAGGGCATGGGGTGTCGTCTGAGGTGAGATGAGTAGGTTGGGGGGAGGAGGAGGAGGTACTAGGAGTGGGGGCTGAAGAAGAATAGTGTTGCGAGAGCTGAAAATACAGATAAGAAGGGGAAGTTTGAGGAAAAAAGAAAGAGATTTTAATAGGTGGTCTCCTAATGGCTGAAAAACATTGATTTTGTAATTTTTCCTAGATTATCCACTTACCTCCTCTGTTCTCCCTCCTGTGTTCCTCCATCTGCTCTCATTCTTCTCATCAGTTTCCATATCCTGTTTCTCTTTCTCTCCATCCTCCTCTTCCCCTCTAATGCCAAGGCTTCGCTCTACTCTCTCTTCCTCTGTCTGGTGTCTTTCAGCAATGTCAGAACCTCCCTGCTGACAGTGGTCTTTAAGCTCTGCTTGCTGCGCTGAACCCCACATGAGAACCACATCTTCAGTCTCAGAGGCCTTAGAAATGTCTTTGGATTCAGAGTTTCCTCTGTCTGCCCCATCATGGGTAGAGGGGTCTACCACCTGAGAACAATGTAATGATAAACTAGATGTTCTCTGATTAATATCTGTCTCTTTGTCAGAGTTACTTTCTTCAGTGGGCAGTCTGTTTGCTGTATCAACATGGTTCTCTGTGTGTCCAGAGGACCCGCCCATCGACTCTCCTCCATTAGCAGGTAACCTGCTCCCACCATATTTTACCGAGACCGGCACATGAGAGTCGTTCTCCAGAGAAACAGTTGTTGCCACTCCATTAGCTGCTTCTGGCACTTCTGTGCCAATAACAGGGGAGAGACTCATCCCTCCCCCTGCTGGTGAAATAAAAAAGGTCAAAGGTGTTAGAGGAATCCTTCTCAGCAAGAAACTTTGTTGTTGCTGTTTTTTTTATGAAATCATGAAGATTGAAATATGTTCAAAAATGTGTATAAAGCAATTATAAAAATCTCCAGTTGCTTTGGATGAAAATGTATTCCGATTTTCTTTCCTTCAGCATCATTTCCAAAACTAAGCAATCGGCTGATAGAAGTGTAGTCTGATACTGTATTGGACACTAGACTAGGCAGCAACTTAACCTCTGATGAAGTTTCATCATTGGGACAGGTTGCCTCAGTTTAAAGTTTAAAAGGCAGTAATTCATATCTAACATCAAAGTATAAAAAAGATATTTATATTTGTTTGAAAATATTCAGCGTATCTGATAAAGTCCAATGTCTGTTTTGCCTAAAACTATAGACAAAACATGTATTGAAATTACATTCTTAGAATTGACTAAAATGAAATAAGATAAAATTAAATGTGATGGTTCTAGGGCTGCAACTAATGATTATTTTGCTTATTGATTAATCTGTTGATTATAATTTTAAATAATCAATTAATAATCGGAGAGCAAAAGGTTCGTTAAAGAAGATTTTAAATAGATTTAAACCAGGTGATGGATAGAGCATTTTGACAGATGAAAAACTTTTTTTTTTTTTTTTAACGCAAAATATGAATATATTTCTTACAATTTTCATATAATTGCTGATGTGAGTGGGTCACTGTCAGCTAAAGGCATGTTTTAAGGTCTCTATGCTCTAGTTAATGATAAATCAATTATTAAATTAGTTGACGATTATTTAAATAATCAATTAATCACAATTATTCCACTTAATTGTTTCAGCCCTAGATGGCTCCACCTAGGTTTCCAGGGCTAAAGTAAGCTAAAACACAACCACCACAAAATGAAAAACAAACATGTTTCAACAAAAACGAAGAGGTTTGGTAGGACTTTTTGTTACCGGTAATAAAAAAAAACCTTCATCAACTTGTCAATCTACTGGATTCCTTCAGACAGAAAACCCCTCAAAAATCTTTCAGAAAGATTTGACTGACTAAAGTAATTAATGATGAGCTCTGTTTTTAATTAGTGCAATGTACATATAATTGGTTGAAACAGGAAATAACTTACTATCTATCTGCTGTGCCTGCTTTGGCTTTTGGAAGAAGATACTGCAACTTAAAGTACTTTACCCTATTCTAGCCTGTGTAAACCACCTACAGTAAGCTTTGGTTACAGAAGTTTCACATTCTGGAAAATTTAGAACAGCCTGCAGGTCTTATTAAGTAATGCTAAAATGTTTTTATATATTTTATCTATTATATAAAGTACCAGAACCTGCAACCACCACTGTGTCTCCTATGTTTTGTCTGATGAGAAAAACATTTTTGGATTTGGATTATTTACAATGAAAATAGATGCTGTGTATCGATTTATTCCAACCTTGAAAAAAAAAAAAAAAAGGTGCTTATTTTGCAGTGGTGTAACAACCATGTGATCACATCCAATAAAAGGAAGTAAACAAGCAAAGGCAGTGAGACATGAAGCCGTCAGGATTATGACAGAATAAGCTATAGAAATGCATATGAATGACTCACTTTAACATCAGATGACCCACTCTTTTATCCAAACTCCCCAAACATGACTCCAATCTTCTCGTTTTAAAACCAGTCGTTTCTTTTATCTAAGGCTGAAGCATTTACATTGACAGCCAGTCAGAATACTGGCATGCATACGCTGAAATAACTAGTGCACATTTAAACCATCTGATTTGATCAATGTTTTCGTTTTCCCAAGCTACGACAAATAAAACACATAAAGAAGAAGAAGAAATAAAGGGAACTAGTTTTCGGTGGGGAAGTGGCTGCTGTTTTGACGCGGCTAATGTTAGCTTCTGAGGCCTCTGACTCACAAATGTAACCAAACATTCTTTCATATAACTGTCACGACTGTAAATTAGTGTTTATTTAAAGCTACAATCTAGATATACACCGTAAAGACTCCAGATAACGATGTCACATACCTCAAATGATCGAAAAAAGAACTCACCAGGGCAGTTTCTATCCTGTAAAATATAAGCAACAATCGAGTCCGACCAATATATTGTTCCCCACAAGTTCCCAATGGATGGTTCCGCATGACGAAACCTTTCTTGAATTTTCACCACGTAAACATAGACTTTTTAATAGTTAGTTAACATTAAAATCACTAGTATACGTATATATAATGACTGAAAATTATATACATTAGTTAGCATGACCTAAAGTCATACTTTTATGTGCGTGTTTAGAAAAAACAGATAAATTAAATCGATTTATCATACATATGATGTATGTTTACCATTAATTTAGTGAACATCCACCTTTTGTTATTTCATTATCGGTTAAAAAAATGCTTTATGCTTTATGCATATGCTTTATATCAGTGTTGTATTTACCATAGTTTTCCCAACAGATGGAGACAAACACCAGGGGGGCCCCCAGGCTGCCTTGCTGGTTATTTTGCTGTTCTTGGGGTTTAGAAGCAGAGCAGATGTCTAAAGTGTTTTGCTGCTTTTCTATTTCAGCTATTACTATGTTTAGAAATGTTAAGCTTTCAAAATATGCCCAGATCATGGAGAATAGTTATACTAATATAAACAAAAGTCTGCTTTGGCAGAGATGCATTTGGTGTTAAGGGTTTGAAGCATAAACAATAATACTATTTTGACAAGAAACTTGAAATTTTATTTTTTTCCAAGTGGAAAAAACTCATTTACTGTGATAAACGTTAGATAACTAAAAATCACCTCTACTTTATTACTGCTTTGTCCCTGTTTGATCTCTGGTTCCTTAGAGTGTCTCTTTAATGAGGATACAAGGGTTTGTTTTTGAAAACTCCTTTAAATTGGAAAATAAATTTAAAGCTGTGTAAAACAAAAATCAGGTTTTAATCAGTTAAGAAACTTAAGTTAAGCTCTAACCTTTTTATAAAGACCAAAATGAAAGTTATTGTATCTTTCATAATGTCTTGTCTAGACATCTCTCAATTTCTATAAGAATCAAGCCTATCTGGTTTGTAAGGAGTTTGTTCTGAAGGCTGCTCCTCATGCATTAACTGGCACCAAGAGGCATCTTCTAATTGTTTCTTGTAATCGTTTCTTTTAGTCTTTGCACTGGATTCATAATCAGTTAATCTTTTTTTATGTTATAACTGTTTAGCCATTTAACCATTTCTTTTAAAGTCCTCTCTTCATTTACACATTATACAGCACAACTTGTAGGCTACATTCCAAATTTTGCAATCTGTTAATTTCTTTATCTTGGGAAAAAAACGTTAATAAAAATTTGAGTTTAAAAAATACATTACGGAGAAAGCTAAATGGGACGAACCCACCCTAGTCTTACCCATTTTTGTTAAAATAACTTTAATGGTGCTTCTTGTGTTTAAGGTGGATTGGGGCCTTTGTTCTTTAATATACAGACTGCTTCAGGTAAACCTACAACATCTCCAGAGATCAAGATCTTGGCTTTTGCTCAGCCAAAGATTTAACATTACTTAGTAACGCTTTAGTCATGTTCCAGGGTTCAGTTCTTTTTAACTTAGCTCTACATTTCATGGTGGATTCTTTAAGATCATGTTACACCAAAGCATTCCCAAACCATAACCCATCCAGCTCAATGCTTCATAGCTGAAATGAGGTTCTTTTCCAGAAATGCAGTATTTGGATTTTGGTGTTAGATAATTTAGTTTTAGACGTATATGTTGAAGGAACATTTTTTTTCAGAAGTCCTGGTCTTCGTCTATGTTCTCTGGCAAACTTTATTCTGGCTTTTTGCTTGAAGAGAAAGTTATTCTTATGCAGTTTCTGAAAGGACAGGCACACAATTTCACATAAAATGCAGCAAAATCCAATGAGGGTCCCTTGATGAGATTAGGTGGTCTGTTTTTAGGTAGAAATAGTTTTGAGTGCCAGACCGATGCATGTTAGTATTTGTTTTCAATGTCCACTACTTGTTTACAGTAGAAAAACTGATTAGAAAAACTTTTTATAGGCTTTTTAAATCCCTTACATGAGTCTTACTCCACTCAAAGCAGGTAAAATAAGCATTGAAAATGCCACAATTTTTCTCAGTAATATTTCTAGAGGTGCTATTGACGTTACATTTTCACCAGATTGGTTGGTAAGAATCCATGCAATCCACACATACAAAGAAATCAAACCATAGATGTCGAGAAATTAGGTTATGTGTAATAATGTGGAATGGCACAGGGAAAAAGTGTTGAACACACTTACTGAAATTTTATTCTTTGTGCAAAAGTCTTTGTTGGCAAGGACAGCTTCAAGACGCCTACTTTATGGAGAAATTATCCTACCCCTTGTCAATACAAATATCAGCTGGTCTAGTCCCAAATGATGGCTTATAAAAAGGAGTATCTGGTATCACATAAGAAGCATGTCATGTTAGGTAAATGTAAAGAGCATTCTCAAGCCCTTTGCAACCTTATTGTTGCAAATCATAATAATGGCATTGTTACAGAAGGATTCCTAAACTTCTGACTGTTCCAGTGTGTACTGTTCTGACAGAGGAGTGAAAATAATTATCAGAAGAGTTGTCCAAGAGCCAAAGACCTCTTAGGGAGAGCTTCAGAAAGACCTGTTATTAGCAGGTACAATTGTTTCAAAGAAAGACATCCACCGAACCAGTCAAAGCTCAGAAAATAGGACCTAGAATTCAGGAAGACAGAAGAGGTTTGTTCAAAAGTAAAATGCTTTATTGACTGCTCTGGATTTTGCAACTTTACATCTGGGACATACTTGCTGGATTCTCTGTAGAGATAGATAGATAGATCAGGTTAGTGACCACTAGACTCAGATGGGTTACAATAACAAGCATGTGAGTCGCTAACCTGGTTCTTAAGTTCTGTCTGTGTCCAGATGAAGGGGTGGGAACCAGGTGGATGACTTCTCCACTGCTTACGACAGGAGCCAGCCAGAGAGTTTCAGGAGTGAGGTAGAGCAGACTGACGAGCGGAAGCTTGCAGACATAGAAGAGCAGAAGAGTCCAGAGGCAGGATCCAGAGGCAGGATCCAGAGCAGGTGACGAACCAGATGTCCAGACCAGAAGATCAGAGAGACGCAGTGGTACCAAAGGGAAAATCAAGCCGGGATCAAGGGACAGATCCAAGGTGGTTAACAGGCAGAGTCCAAACAGCAGTCCGAACACAGGGACAGGCAGAAACAGACTGGAACAGGGGCAATCCAAAACACATAAATCCATAGGCAGAAACAGGTCAGGATCAGGCAGTCAAAACACAACAGAATACACTAGATAACTCTCAAACTCGGCTCAAATAAACTGACACTGATGGCTGGAAACAGGCAGCATAAATAGGAGCTGTAACAGGTGGATCACATGAGGGCATATGAAAGCTGGCCGTAGCTAAACAGGCGGAAGGAATTAAGTAATAATCCAGTCATGAGTGTCAAGATCATGACAAAACTGTCATTGTATGTATGCACACTCACAGAGCAAGACTCCATTGCTGAAGAAAAAGCATGTTGAAGTTTAGAGTTTGTTGCACAACATTTAGACAAGCCTGGGACAATATAGTTTGAACAGATGAGACCAAAATTTAACTCTTTGGATGCCATAATACACATCATGTTTGGAGGTCAAATGGCGCTGCACCTCACCCCAAACACTATATTTACAGTGAAGTTTAGAGGTGAAAACATCGTGGCTTGGGGCTGTTTTTCAGCATATGGTGCTGGCAAACTGCAAACAATTGATGGAAAGGTAAATGGAAAAATATAGAGAGACATTCTTGATGAAAATCTGCTGCCATCTACCAGGATGATAAAGATCAAACATGGGTGGACACTTCAGCAAGACAATGACCCCAAACACACAGCCAAAGAAATTCTCAATTGGTTTAAGAGAAAGAAAATAAAGCTTCTAGAATAGCCATGGTAATCACCAGATCTGAATTCAATAGAAAAATCTATGGAAAGAAGTAAAGATAAGAGTTCGAGAAGAAGCCCAACAAAACCTTTAAGATTTGAGGACTTTTTGTGTGGAAGAATGGGCCAAAATCACACCTGAGCAAAGCATGCAACTAATTTCTCTATACAGGAGGCATCTTGAAGCTGTCATTTTTAGTCAGAATTATTGTAAGAGGAGTAGTTCCCAATTCATTTCTCACTGGAAGTAGATTTTTTTTTTTAATTACATTTCACGGAGAGAAAAAAAAGGAATAATTCCTTTATGTTTGTTAATTTTTGTATTTCTTAATCTTTTATTGTGTTTATAATGATAATAAATACATCAATAGGTTCAAATACGCCTGATTCACACACAGAATGTCATAGGATGCTCTAAATTTGATAGGTAGCAATTAATCCCCAAAAAAATCCAGATGTATTGTGTACATTTGAGTCTGTTTGAAATGCTAAGCGCTTTATTTAAGGCCCATCATCAAATTCAATCGGGTAATTGCTCTATAAATTATTGTAAATGGCAACTAAATAACCTTCCAGGGGGCTGAAAATAAAGAAAAGATCTTGGTTTCGGCAGTTTGTCTCCACAGTAGAAATGAAGTCAACATCTTGTGGCTTCTCAAAACCATTGAATGACAAACCAGGCAGAAGCGGAGAGAGTAGAGAAAAACCCACACTGAAGCCACATCTAAAGATCTCGTAAAATATCTAATCCACCTCATCTCTTCAGGCCAGCTGCACCCTCTGCAGGGATTCAGCAGCTTTATCCTATTTGCTCCATTTCCAACTGCAGCACACATCAAAGCTTCAGAAATCTACCTAAAGACCTTCAAGGTTCAGAAGTAAGAGTTTGATTCAGAGCTCTCCTATAGATTGCTCTGTTACTTAATTCCTTTTCCTTTTTAGGGATTTTACATAAAAAAGGAGGCTATTTAACAGATAATTCCTTCCCACATGTGAAGCAGCAGTATAGATGAGGAGGTATATGAATTAAATTGAAAGCATGTGGCTTCATGCATATGTGGTTGTTTTTATTACAGAAGTTGGAGACTGCAGGTTTCACATCAGTGGCTAAAATGACATTAAAGGCCTATAAATCAGCAAGCCACTAATTCCTCTGTTAATTGTATCCA